TTTGTTAGTGAATGTGTAGATATTTTCAGTACATACACAAATGAAACAAACTGAAATGATTCAATTTACTATTTTTTCAAATAAAAGTTAATTGATTATGTTATGCTTTTGTTTGTTTGTTTGAATTTCGCGCAAAGCTACACGAGGGCTATCTGCGCTAGCCATCCCTAATTTAGCAGTGTAAGACTAGAGGGAAGGCAGCTAGTCATCACCACCCACCGCCAACTCTTGGGCTACTCTTTTACCAACGAATAGTGGGATTGACTGTCACATTATAATGCCCCCATGGCTGAAAGGGCGAGCATGTTTGGTGGGATGGGGATTTGAACCCGCAACCCTCAGGTTATGCTTTTATGACTCGCAAAGTTGATACATGGATGGCCCACTTTCTGGAAGTCAGTGGGGAATTTGCCCCACTTAAGAAAAATCCTACAACCAACACTGATATCTATGGAACTTAGCTACAGTGTTAAGATAAAATAATTTTATTTCATAATTTGTTGATGTGTGTTTTACTTTAGTCACAATTCAAGCTGTGTTTTAGCTCATAATGTCTTACTGAATGCTTATGGCTTACTTTATACCCCTGTTTTATTCTAAGGTACACCAATAACTTTCAGTTAAGAATAGCTATAGTTGAAAAAAAACCAGAAAATGTTATGTTGAGTTGAAAAAAAGAGACTGAAGAGAATGTAAAAAAAAGATTGAAAAATAATCTCTAAAGCATCTAAATAAATTTTGAACTTTTTTTTCAGTAAAACTTTATATTGTATCTGTTATTTTCTCTATCCTAACTCTATACGAGGTTGATCAATCTGACCAACCTTGAAACCACCAAGAAAAATTAGATTTAAATCTAAATTATCTTTTTTCTTTCTAGAATGACTTCAAATTGTAAATGAAACTACATTTGTTTATCCTAATAGCTTTAAACTCATAGCATTATACTTGAATTTTATTGTGTTATTGCCCTTTGAACCAGGTCTAACTTATACTTGCACCATATAAGTTGTAAAACACTTGAACTTGTAGCTCATGTTACCTTATCAAATTACATAATGCATGGGCTACTCACAAGTTACTATGTGAAAATTTTTTGTTATTACTATTTATTTTATCTAAGCTAAAAAGTTTCTAATTTTTACATTTTAGTT